ATTCTCTTTGTATACTGTCCCCCTTCCCCAGACCATTCTCAAAAAAGCACATGAAGTGACCTTTTAAAAATGCCAATATAAAAAAAAAGCAAATCTGATTTTATAATTCTTCTGCTTTAATCCTCCTTCAGTAAATTCATATAGCTTTGAAGATGGTATTTCAAATTCCCCACATGACCAAGTCCCTCTATAGTCTCTATCTCTAGCCTCAACTACATCATTATCACTCCTTCTGTCGTCAGTTCCTTGAAAGTGCTGGACTTTTGCACATGCTGTTTCCTAAAATACATATTTTCCTCCTTTGCTCCTGTTCTTTTACATAGGATCTCCTATTCATTATTCCAATCTCAAATCAAACAGAATTTTTTTAGAGAAGCCTTCACTAACTATTCAATCTAAATTAGATTCTCACATTATGATCTTTCATATCCTTCACAAAAGTTTTGCAATTTGAAATAATGGATTTATTTGTGGCTATTCTTAATTTGTTTCTCCCTCCCTATGCTATAAGTTCCATAAAATCAATAACCATAGCTATTTGGCTCACCATCGCACCCCTAGCACTTATCCAGTGTCTGGTACATAATATAAGCTCAATAAATATGTACGATAAATATATCCCTATATTACAGATATAGAACCTGTAATTAGAGAAATAATAAAACTTGCTTCTAAGTCACAATGCCAGAAAGAGGAAGAAGCAGGATTTTAACCCATGTATGTAAAACCCTACATACTTATTGTATAGCTGAACTACTTATTCAGCTGAACCACTCCCTTTATCATAACTCTCTCAGACACAGAAACTTCAGACAGGTTTGCCCATCCTTTCCCCTTAGTTTCAACAGCTTTGATAAATAACTTCAAATAGCAATAATTATCTCAGTACAATGCCAACTGGCTGAACCAACAATACCCATTCCACTTATGCAGTGGCAAAATTCTAGATGACCAATTAGAATGACAACCAGAATATATGTGATTGGCGTGTGAGTGTAACTAGTGAGTCAAAATGTTTTTAAAGAGTTAAATTTATCTTCCATTTTTTCCAACAGCTGGCAAATCTATAGTTGGCAACTGTGAGAGAATTGTTTGCCACATGCAGGTGGTAGAAGAGAATTAAATTACAAACACACGAAAATGTGGTTTTCAGCTGTTCCACAGTGCTATTATGTTGGCCGAGAAAGAAGTGGAATTTCTGTTGGCTTACATTTCCTGAGATTTTTCATTTAAGTCAAATGAGTTCAAATTAGGGTCAAGACTTCCCAAACAAACAAATAAAATATACATGGCTTTTCCTTTTGTGTCTCTAATATTTCATATTAGACTAAGTTGGATCTACTGAGTTATAATGCTGGCTGTCTTGGCTGAGGTTAACTGCTGACATTAACATTTATTTTTCTCTATTAAATGATTGTCTAATACAGTTTAATAACTTTTTTTGAAATTCTTGTCATAAATTTTGACAGAAGTTTCTTTCAGAATTTTGAAAACAAATCAAATGTTAAAGTAGTATCTTCTATCTCTCATCTGGCAGAAAAATCTAAGGTTCCTATAAATAAGGAAAATTATCATTTCTGTAAATATGGGAAAATTGATGTTTAATAAGATAAAAAATGTTAGTGGGCTATGAATTCTTTGTTCAAATATTTTGAATAATTTTGAATTGTTCAAAATAAATATTTTAGAGTATTTGTTCAAATGTGTAGGAGAATATGACAAGTATATGGGGAATATGGCAAATTAATATAGTACATATATGAGTATGTACATGTATATGTGTGTATAGGAGTGATCAATTCTGCCTAGAGACTCACAAATGGTCTTCCCTCAGAGATGATGTTTAAGCTGACACTTAATGAACAAGTGTTCACACATTGAATGATTAGTCTAAGGTCATTCCAGGTGGAAGGAGAAGCATTGCAAAGAAGACAAGATGACATTATCTTGCCTCTCTATCTCTTTTTTCCCCTTCCTTTTCCTTCTTATTGAAGTTCTTCTCCCCATCCCCCCACCCCAACCCTCCACCGGCATATGCTCTTCATTTTCTCTTTTCTCTATTCTGCAAACCCAGAGGTAACTTTGTACAAGTTTTTTTTGTTTGTTTGTTTTTTAAGATGTCCCTTCCTTGGGGCGTGCAACCCTGTACCAAGACGCAGAGGATTAATGAGTAAACCAGGGCTTTATTTCCAGTCCCCCTTCTCCGGGGGCCGTAGGTGGAGGACACTGGGCACCATCTAATGAAACGAGGTGATTGTAGACTCCATTCCATTTGATACAAGTGTCTTCCTCTCCTTTAATCTCTTGGCAAATAGTCCTTTTGTCCTCTCATTTCTTTCTTTTTTCTTTCCTATTATTTTTCTCGCATACTCTCTTTTTCTTTTTACCTTCACCTCTGCTATACTGACCATAATATGAAACTTAAGCAGACATTTAGAGATTTTTATACCCTTAAAATAAATGAAAGTTACCTGCTTTCATTCCACACACAAAAAAATATAAGTAAATTTGTTTTTGTATGTGTCTCTAAAAAAAAAAATTCCTTTTAATGATTTCCTGTAAAAAAAATACTTTCCCTATCTCTATGTTCTGATACTACTAGAATGACTGGTTTTCTATCTGACTGGAAATGTGCTGTCATTGGTTGTGAGCTGTGGAAAAGTCTGTAAGCAATGGTGTTGAATCAGTGGAAACACATTCCTTCAGATTGCTGTGAAACCTGTAACACTTGTCAAATAGGTTCCGGGATAACATTTTGTAAGTTAAGGTAGCAATGAAATGCTTTGTTGCAGAAGTCAGAAATGATCTAGGTAGGACGTTTTAGGCAGTATGGACCCTAGATAGGAACAACTGAAAAATCAGCTATCTGACAGTCAAGATGAAAAGTTATCTCTGTAAGTGTCCTGCAGAAGGCCAAATTGAAATGATCAAATAATAGGTACTCTAAAAATAAAAAAAAATCTACATGCAACTCTGGACATAGTAAAGTAAATACAATGTTGGGAAGGAGACTTTGGCAGAGAGCTCAGAAATCCCCAAGTAAATGTTACGTTGGATTTGTGGGTTATGACTTAATTCTGACTGCACGCTAGAATTACTTGGAATGTTTTAAAAGAAAAAAAATAGTGCCAGTGAGGGGCCTGGACAAAATTTGTTTGTTTGTTTTTTTTTCTTTTTTTGCTCCCCAAATAGTTCTGATGATCTCATAAGGGCTGGGAACCAAATGTTATATAACTTGTCCATAAAACTCTTTCCTATAATTTTTTAGTGGGCAGTGAAAACTACTAGATTGACTCCTTTAAATCTTCTGTTATAAAACTACAGGAATTAATGAGGAAACAAACAAACAAACAAAAAACAGTAAAATTTAACTACATTGTACCTCACCCCTCCTAAACTTCATTATTTTATAACCAGAAAGGGAAGAAATTGTAGAATCTTCTGAGTCACACTAATAACAATAGAGAATTACTGTTTTTCTTCATTCTGTGGCATTCCAGGAGGTGTAAGAAATTTTAGTTACATGTACCTTTAAAAGTTATTATTCCTTTTAAAAAAATTTTAAATCTAGTTATTGAAATACTGTATTGAAACATCTTCAGGAACACAGTGTAAGAGTAAACAGGAAGAGCAGCAACAGATTTTTAACAGAAGTTAATAAGCAAACATCACCCCAAATTTGATACTATAAATATAGAAAATGATGGATAACTGAATATATGAAAGTATTTGTAAACACTATGGCATAAGCAATAAAGCAGTGCATGTAGAAAAAGAAGGCTGGGTTTTTGGCAGGTTTGGATTGAGTGACTTCTTTACCATCTCCAAGATGAGATCTTGAGTGTATCACTTACCTCACTTGGTCTCCTCATCTCTAAAATGGAGATAATGAGTACTTATATCATAGGGTTACCAAAAATTATATAAATATGGTTTGAGAAACTTCTTCACACAAAACAGCTCTCTAGTAAATATTATTCCCATTACCAATAAAAGAATGCTATAATTTATAGAAGCAGAAAGTAGATTAGTGGTTGTAGGGGTCTCAGGGTGGAAAAGAGAGCAAAGGAAAATGGGTGTAAAGAATCTTTTCAGGATGATAAAAAACGTTCTAAAACCAGATGTGGAGATGTTTGTTCAACTCTGAAAATTTACCAAAATCACTGAATTTTATACCTAAAATAGGTAAATTTTATAGTTTGTAATTTATGCCTCAATAAAGCTGCTTTGTTTTTAGTGCCCTGGGGGATAGGAGGAGAGGGAGTTTAATGAAAAAAGACTGGCCATAATAATTGCTTAAGCTGGGTAATGGGTACATGGGGTTTATTAAGCACTTATCTTTAGTTTTGCATATATTTGAAATTTTCTGCAATAAAAAGGGAATGTTGTAATTAATGACAATTAAGTTTTCTAATTTTATCATTGTTAAGGTTATCTAGTTTCTTAAACTAGATATAAGGTCTTATGTCTTAACAAATATAATGCTGGTAAGAAATAAGAATAACGAATGAATAGAAGGCACAGGCCAAAGTCTTTTCCAGCTATCACCGAGGAGCAGAAGTTAATTGGAGGCTATTCTTATATTTTTGCAATCATTCTTTATATCACCATAGATATTCTGCTTTTGCTAAATTGTAAAGATGGAACTTCCTCCTTTACTGAAAATTCAACATAAATTTAAAGCAAGTAGCAGAGGGTTCTGAAAACATAAACCATCAATTGAGAACCAGAACATTTACACTTGATATATTCAAAACGAACTTCCTCCCACCCCTCTCAACCGATTTTTTACCAAAATTTAATCCTCCATTTGAATTTCCCTGAATCTCAGTGTACAATCAGCTGCACACACACAAAAAATTGCAATTATCTAATTCCTCTTCTCTCCTTCATTTTCCACATGCTATTGTTGATCATTTTCTATTAATTACACCACTTGACATTTTCATCTGCGTCCCCTCTTCTCCACCCACAAAAACACTTAGTTCAGATCACATCACCTTTCAAGACGACAGAGATCATCTCCAACTGGTATTCCTACTGGCCTCTCTCCACATTCTCCACATTAGCCATTCTCAATCCACGTTTCTTCTGGGAAGCAAAATGAAAATGTTCACAAGTACACAACCATATTTTAATGAAACTGCAAAAGAAAAAAAACACATAGATAGAGTAGTAATTTGTTCATAGCTCTAACTATTAATAGTATCTCAGTAATGGTCACTTTCAAAGGCCCAAGCAGTAAAAGGATAGGCCATGGGTTTGGTGTGGTTCCAGGCCAACGGCACTGATCTTTCTGCCCCAGAAAGCAAACCAGAAAATAAATGAGCAGAACATTAATAAAGAACACCTCCTAATACAATGACCAAACCACTTTCAACTTAAATGTTTCTATGGCTCCTCACTGTCTACAGAACGAAGTACACGTGCTTTAATAAATTTTATAACTGCCCCCCAACCTCATAACCTGGATTCTCTCATCTGTTCCCTGCCCATACCTTCAATCTCAAGTTCTGTCACATTCCTAATCTAATTCTACATTCTAGCCATACTGAGCCACTCAAACATCTCTAAATTCTTGATTGTGTCTCACACTTTTAGAACCCCAAGACTAGTTATAAATAGATTGTTTTTTTAAATGAGGAAACTAAAAATTCATATGTTGCAAGCTGTTGGTGAAAAAAGAATATTCCCTGTATGATACATAACAACATAATAGAATTCTGAGGAAATTCAGAGGCCTGATGACCATCCAACTTATCCCAATCTTAGTTATTTTTACTGCAGCTAAAATTACTTTGTATTTCTGTTCCTAATTTCCAAATTTGCCTCTGGATCTGGAATTTTTACCTTCTGACATTAAACCATCTTATCCATAAGAAAAATGAAATACTATAAAATAATTATACCATATATAATGTCCAATATTATATAATACACTAAACTAGTCATAGTTATTGACCAAAAAATTATATTTTTAAAAAATCCACATAATTTTTTCTGTATTTTACTTCAAAACTGAATTTCAGAATATTTTTAAAGTACTCAAATACAGATATCTTTATAAAGTCATTTTTATAAGAAAAGCTAAAAGGAAGAACATGAAAATGAAGTAAAAGAGGTGGAGAAGGAAAAGGAAACTGAAGAAAGGTTGCACTTACTGATTTTCTAAATGCTAGATCTAGATATTTGGTGTTGCCTGTATTTTATAAAAAATGAGAATTATTTTGTTTTTAAAACTAGTGTAATGGAAAAAAATGATATTTATAATACTGCGGTCTTAGAACTAATAAATGAAAGTCACCCTTTTCTGCTGCAAAGAGCTCAGCAGAAAAGGGTGGCTTTCATGTATTAGCTCTCTAATGAGTCTGCATATGCAATGTTTTGAGATTAGAGGTTGTAAAAGACATGAATTCACTTCTCCACAAAAAACTGAGAGTAAGTTGGGGTTACTTGGAATATGCAAAAAATGCAGAAAAGGGGGAAAAGGAAAATATAGGAACATGGCAAGGGAGAAAGAAGTTAGCAAACTAGTCTGAGGCAGAAATGCTGTATGATGTGAGATGGTCAGTGAAACATCCCCATTTCTTGAGTGGCTAAAGAACTTTTAAGACAAAAATATTCATTTTTATTTTATTTTTTTTAAGATTTTATTTATTTGTCAGAGAGAGAAAGAGAGCACAAGCAGGGGGAGCAGCAGGGAGAGGCAGAGGGAGAAGCAGACTCCCTGCTGAGCAGGGAGCCCCATGTGGGGCTCGATCCCAGGACCCCGAGATCATGACCCAAGCCGAAAGCAGACGCTCAACACAACTGAGCCACCCAGGCATCCCAAAAATATTCATTTTTTAAAGTTGGTTATTTTGTGGGAATATTATATGCCCCAAACTCACGTAGTCACACACCTCCCTTGTAAAACTAAGCAGGCACATGATTCGAGTGAGAGTTTTGTTTGTTCATTTACTTGAAACAAATCATGAAACAGAGATGAATTCCAGGTCTGAGCCAATAGAGAGGGTAACCAGAGCGCCCTGTTAAGGGAGGTGAGATAATCCATAACCTGGGTCCAAATCAACAGAACCAGTGGCTCCGAGGCAGAAGTTACTGAAGAATGGAAGTCCTGGGGGAATTCCCACAAGTGCCACAGAGAACTGTGAACCTCCAAAGGGAGGTTCAACTTAGCCCACCCACTTTTGAAGGGGCAGGGAAACCCCAGCTGATAATCAGGCAACGTTAGCTTTCTAAAACTATCACAGAGCCACCAAATGTTAATAGGTATGCATTTCCTACATATCAAAAAATAATACCCCATGTGCTACATATCAAATGTATTGCTATATATCAAAAAATAAAACATCATTTGATATTTATCTGAGAGGAGCCACAAAGGGAGTAAAATGTGACAGTTTTATGAGCAAAATTCCATGGATTTGATGATGACTGTCAACCTACTCAAATCAGAATTATATAAAGAGTTGTGTAATAAGATACTATAATGATCAAGTTACTAGTATTATAAGCCTATAAATCTATACCCACTAATTATCAAGTTATTAGTATTATAATCCTACAAATCTATGCCCACTTATAAAAGAAATATGGCAATATTCATACCTCATTCATAAAGATATTGAAAAAAAACACCAGATGCTAACAAAATCTTCTCTGGATAGTAAAATATGAGAAATGTTGTTTTGCCTCCCTTTCTTCCCATTCATATGGAGTTTTTTTCATAACATTTTTATTTTGTGCTAGAAAACAAAGTATAATTTTTAATTGCTCATGAACATCTGAACTATATGTATGTAATCAGAGATAAAATGTATACATACAATAGTTCCATGATAATTTTAAGTACTAAGGCTATGCAACTATGAGATTTCTAAATATGAATCTGTTTATACCAATCCTCTTATTAGTTCTTCATTTTCTTAAAACTAGGACAAAACAAAGAGACTTTGGAAAGATGACCTATTGACAATACAGCTTAGCTTTCTCCCATGCTAAAGCTATTTTGTCTTCCACTGAAAATGTTATTGCTCATTAACTAAACCTACTGAAATTGGATATTCCTTACCTTGGGTAATTCACAGTTTTAAATGCTTAAGCCTACCTGACTGCTACCATATTTTTCCTCACATCAGTCTCAGCAACAGCTGGGGCAGTCACTATTTATTTGTAATTGTATTGTTAAGGATAGAAATAAGTGAAAGTAGTAGAAAACTGCAATTGCTCTGCTGGACAGTTTGTACTCTAAACTTTTAGGGCTGTCCAATAAGGAGCAAATTATTTTGTGGAGCAGAAAAAAATAGTGTCAAGCTGTCAACAGTGGAAAATATAGATGTGTCATTTCTCAGTAATTTAGAAGACTAGAACATATCTTTTCTCAGGCAACTTGTGTGTGTGTGTGTGTGTGTGTGTAAAATTAGAGAGAGAGAGAGAGAGAGAAAGAACTGTAAAAACTTCAGGACAGGGCGCCTGGGTGGCTCAGTTGGTTAAGCGACTGCCTTCGGCTCAGGTCATGATCCTGGAGTCCCAGGATCGAGTCCCGCATCGGGCTCCCTGTTCGACAGGGGGTCTGCTTCTCCCTCTGCCCTCTTCCCTCTCGTGCTCTCTGTCTCTCATTCTCTCTCTCTCAAATAAATAAATAAAATCTTTAAAAAAAAAAAAAAAAAAAAACTTCAGGACATATTTTTTTAAGTGAGCTACTCTGCTTCTAAACTTTAATATCTATTATTTTTCTTTCTCAGACACACAAAACTCTCTAAACCTTTAGAATTTCACCCACTATTTCTTCAACCTGAACACCAACCTATGCTTTAGCAACTGAAAAATTCTCACTCATTCTAGAAGGTTTCGCTAAAATTCTTTCTACCTTTTCTATGAATCTCAGACTGTTCTAGGGAGATTTTCATGCTTATATTTCTATTCAACCAGCTTACCCCTTTAAAACAATTGCCTTTATGGAAATACATTGTAAATTTCTTGAGAATAGAGACAATAGAGTTTCATCTTTGTATTCCAAAAACTTAGCAAAATAAACACTATTGAAAGATCTTAGGAGTATGGCTGTCTGACTCTAATACTCCCATACTAACTTTAGGAACATCAGCAAAAAAGTGAACCTCTCTATGCCTCCATTTCTTTAATCCTAAAATTGTAATGATGATAAATCCTATCTCATAAAGATGTTGTGATGATTAACTCATATACTATATGTACAACACTAAAGAAAGGGCCTGGCTTATAATAAACTCTCAAAAAATACTAGCTGTTGTTTCAATAACCAGTAATAGCTTTGATTTTGTGTGTATCATAAAGTAAATTCCACCTATGCCAGATAGATAGATGAAAGATCCTACAAACATAAACTAAGCAGAAATGAAATAATCTCATTTATTGAAAAACAAAAGGGAAATTTTAATACACATTTTATGTTAACATTATCATTTATCCCACCCATCCCATACTATTTGGATTCAAATGGAAAATCATTTTTATCAAAAAACTTATTCTATGGGGGGGCCTGGGTGGCTCAGTTGTTAAGCGTCTGCCTTTGGCTCAGGTCATGATCCCAGGGTCCTGGGATCGAGTCCCACATCGGGCTCGCTGCTCGGCAGGAAGTCTGCTTCTCCCTCTCGCACTCCCCCTGTTTGTGTTCCCTCTCTCGCTGTGTCTCTGTCAAATAAATAAATAAAATCTTTAAAAAAAAAAAAAACTTATTCTATGAATAAACTCTATTTCATTTACGTCTTGTCATTTTATGAAAAGTTTTTTTAAGAGCTAATTGATAATAAAATTATATCCCTTACCAGATTTCTGATGAGAAAACACAGGAATAACATATTCTTAAGGTTTTTCCTCATTATCAATCATTTTTCCTAGGATTCCCAATGAATATAAGAAGGTTCTTATCTGAACTAGGAAAGTTTGTATTCCTAGTGAAATTCCTCCAAAAGGTGATCAAAATCACTGTCACAGATAACTGGACTTGAAGGTCTTTAAGTTACCAGTAGATCATTAAAAGCTACACATGCAATTCTTTTAAATGTAGTCTATCCTCTGTAGGATATCATAATGATGAATATTTGTCATTATATACTTGTCCAAACCCACAGAATGGATAACATCAAGAGCAAATCATAA